AATAATAACAGAGTGTAAATGATTATATTTATTAAAATTATAAATATTTTTATCATTATTAAACACTCGCTGGGCACTTTACTTCCACTTTTAGAACATTTTCTTCATTTTTATTGAAAATAAATTCTAATATGATATGTGATTGGAAAAGTGAGAAGCGCGAGCTCGGCAAAAGCCGGACTCGAACCCGATCAATCACGTCACAAGCTAGTTTTCCGCTCCCAACGCTTTACTGCCTACACCACTGAAGTCGTTAATCATGCGCGTCGTATTTAACCTTGTGTCACATTGGAGAGCGGAGCTACTGTAAATTTGCACTTAGTAATAGACACTCCGAATAATCTTGTTTTCCATTTGCATTAAGATTATTTTTATTACCACACTGGCAGATAATTTTACTTAAGTAAAATGCACTTAATTTAGATCCCCCCAGGAAATAAGACTAAATATCTTATATATAATTTTCTTATATAGAAAATTCATCTTGATTTAAGAATCTTTAGATATTTGTACTTGAAATAAGAAAAAAAATACTTAGTAAGAAAAGCATTTTTGCAGCGTGCATGAATGAATTAAGTATTTAAACATCGCTTACGCTTTAAAAAGGGGGAGGAGACTGAAAGAAACTCTGGGTTTACCGAAGAAAGCCTGCTCCTGACCAGGTTAGGTTCACAGAGTAAGTTACCATGGTAACTGACTCTGAGTATAAGTTACCTCTCTTTCAGAAACGGACTTGACTTACCCTGCTTTCTCGGGTTTGACAAACCTCCCATTCTGAAACTGAAAACCCAGAGTTTTCCTCATTTAAGGGTTAACATGCTCAGAGTTTTCACTTAACCTCCTTTCTGAAACGGGCCCCTGGAGTACCAACACTGCACACTGTGCATATCTCCTTTGACCAACACACCCATTTCAGGTCTTGGGAGTCTCTACTAATGAGCTGATGAGTTGAATCAGGTGTGTTTGATTAAGGAGACATGCAAAACGTGCAGTGATGAGGGTACTCCAGTAACGAGGTTGGGAACCACTGACTGATGTAGAGGATAATCCATGGCTAGGTGTGCGTTACATAATTTTAATGCACAACAAGTAGGCAAAAAACCACCCAATGCACAGCAAGTGAATATCAAGGTGTGTACTCTGCAAAGAGAGGGCAGTTTTACTCACATGTGATTTGTAACACATTTGGGTATGCTTTAAAATGTTGCCTTGTGAAAGTGAATGGACCCAAGAAGAGAATGCAATATTGTAACAATTTAAGTCCCTGTTTTGGAACAAAGCAAATGATGTACAGGTCTGAAAACACCTTTAAAGTGATTAGATCAATAGCGATACAATGCAGCCGGTCTCTAGGAATGACCCCTTGGCCTTCCGTTTAGGAGACAGCGGGTGAATTCTGCATTGACAGCGCTCTGTTCGGGCAACTTTTGAAATACATTCACAAGACAAACATGCACACAAAAACACACATCAGAACTGACAACACGCCTATGAGCAGGACCCTGACCTTTCTACAACAGCATGACAGCTGCCATTCTCTCCGGTCCATCTCTAAGAGACTTCTTACCATTTTTCTGCCTTTTATATAATAGTCTATGCTCACAAGGGTTTAGTCAACATAAGAAGCTCTAATAATACTCCTTAAAGTTATGTACTTTTGAACCCTCACTTATCCATGCATTTGAAGACAGTTGGTTCTGAAGAACATGAGAACACTCTTAACATAATAGAAGGTAATTTGACAATTTTGCTAATGGTTTTCCTGAATTGCTCTGCAGTGCAAAACAAAGCACTGTTTCACGGTATGGATGGAAAATAACCCTATATGTCTACATTTAAGTGCTATACACAAAGCCATCTATTTTTCCCTTTAAAAACATTTTCTATTATCCCATGTTATCTCAGTTGCACAACTTTTATGATCACTCAGTACAATGCAAATAATGTCTTCAATGCAAATCAAGACAATATAACTTTCTTTTCCATGACGCAAAAAAGAGATTGCAATTGGAAACAAGCTTAATTGGCCTGGAATCACTGGAAATAATTTTTCAGCTGCACCAACCGAGTGCTTCAAATACACACTACCATTCAAACATTTGGGGTCAGTAAGATTTTTTTTGTTAAAGAAATTAATAATTTTATTCAGCAAGGACGCATTACATTCGCAAATGACATTAAAGACATTTATAACAAAAGATTTCTATTTCAAATAAATGCTGTTGTTTTGAACTTTCTATTCATCAAGCAATCCTGACGTTTTCCACAAAAATCTGTAGCAGCACAACTGTTTTCAACATTGATAATAATCAGAAATGCTTCTTGAGCAGCAAATCAGCATATTAGATTGATTTCTGAAGGATCAAGTGACATTGAAGAGTAATGATGCTGAAAATTCAGCTTTGATCACAGGAATAAATTATATTTTACAATATATTCAAATAGAAAACAGTTATTTGGAACTGTAATAATATTGCACAATATTAATGTTTTTACTGTATTTTTGACCAAATAAATGCAGCCTTGGCAAGCAGAAGAGACTTCTTTCAAAAATGATCTGTATGACCCCGAACTTCTGAACTTGTCAAGCTTTCAAAATGAGGACAGAAAGTCAGTGTTAACAATTTAGATGTAAAATCCCTGCTGACCTGTTATTAAAAAGCAGCATTCCTCTCTCTCCAAGTGAATACACACAGCTGGATATGTAAAATGTCCAGACAAGCAAAGCACTTTATTAATTGTGTGTAACTGAAGAATATGCACATATTTATAAACAATAACTGATAGCAGACTGAGAATTGCACATTTTCTGTTGTTAGCATTCCACAGCTGAAATCTAGCCAGTAGGCTAATCAATAATGTTGGCAAAAACATTATCCGAACATAATCAACCAGGAAACGTTTGATCCATTCAGCCTCAAGCTACAAATCTGACCTATTTATATTCTCATAAACATCAGCTCTCTCTCTTTTGCTCACCTAGAATGAGATGAGATCTCGCTCAGGTCTCCCATACTCCCGTCCGCGGGTGCGTGTCCGGTGGCAAGAGCTGTGCCGTAGCTCTGGGGAAGGTACAACCTGCTGTGGTCCTCCTCCGTGGACCCTTCTTCTGTCAGCTCCGGTGTCCAAGGGTGTCCCGGATCAGACGCCCCGTGGCCCTGGAGCATTACGCGGGCCACGGATGCACTGGCGACCCCTGGGGTCATGCTACAGGGCGCGGTGTCAATGCCGCTGTCTGTGGAGGCTCCTTTGATGTAGGTGAGACCCAGCATCTCTGGATCCATCAGGTCCCCGGAGCTGAAGTGCTTCTCATCACTGTTACTGCTGGAGGCGTTGCTGGACAGAGTGTTACTGCTGGAGTGGCTGGAGTTCTTATCGCCGCCCTGCTGGAGGACAACAGATACCAAGAAAACATTAATAATAGGGCACTTTTTTGGCAAGACATTTACTACGGCATGCTTGCTATCTTTTATAGCAACAACCTAAAAACCACCCAGAATACTCTAGCAACTGCGTTGCATTATTTGCATGGGCAAGAACCACATATATTTTCTTAAATAACATATATATAAATATAAGAAAAATATTAAAAATAAATATATTAAAATAAAAAATAAATCTATCTGCAACACAAATATAAATATATTTAAAAAAAATACAAATAAATTCAAATAAATAAATAAATGAATACTTAAAAAAAAAATACTCTTGCAACTGCACTGCAATATTTGCATGGGCAAGAACCACTTATATTTTCTAAAAAAACAAACAAACAACAGAGATAGAAATATAAAAAAAATAAAAAAATAAATTCATACAAAAGATACTCTAGCAACTGCTTTGCAATATTTTATATATATATATGAGGAGTTCATTTGCAAAAACTGATAACTCTAAAACTGATTTTTTTTTTTTCAGAAATCACATTTTTTTAATTGTGCATTCCAAGTAATATCAATCAAACTGCAGTTGGGTTGTTTTGATTAAGTAATAATAACTTAATAAAATTACAGGTAATTTACAAAATTATATATAATTATAATTATTTAATTTGCAAATGTCATGTTTGTGATTTTTTTGCATGTAAGCTATAGCTTCTGACCTTTAAATCAAAACAGATTCGTGATTTTATGACATCAATTACTGCTTTATTTATTCAGAAATACAAGTATCTTAATGTTATTTGTGTATTTTACGTTCATTTAAAGTCCCCTAAATAAAAAACTAGGGCTGTGCAATTAATCACATGCGATTGTCAAGCGCATCTCGTCAGTAAAGCCAGTTCTATGATTGGTAGTAAATCGCCATCACCTGCTTTCAGATGGAGCGGCATTTAATACACAGAACCATAGTTCACTGACATTCTAGGCAATATTGCCTAGAATGTCAGTGAACTATGGTTCTGTGTATTAAATGCCGCTCCATCTGAAAGCAGGTGATGGCGATTTACTACTAATCACGGAACCGGCTTTACTGACAAGATACGCATGACAATCGCATGCAATTAATTGCACAGCCCTATAAAACACCTTACCGGATGGGAATTAGAACCCAGGGGAGGCTTACCGATCGATCTGCGCAACGCAGCTTCAAGTCAAACACACCTACTGTTGACTCTGTCGCACACTGGATGTGTCATTTTTTACGTGCATTCTGCAAATGAAATGCAGCGATCCAAAACAGTGAAACTAACCACCATTCAGGCAAAAGTTTGCTTCAAGAATGACCACACTGCTGACGTGATCTTATCGTTATTACAGCCTGAGCACATGTGAGCTATTCGTCTTATCGGCCAGGCATATCAAACTGCAGTTGGGTTGTTTTGATTAAGTAATAATAACTTAATAAAATTACAGGTAATTTACAAAATTAAAGTTCATTGAAAGTATGTTTTTTTTTTTACATATTAAAAGTTTGTTTTATAGCAAAAGCAGATAACTCCACATTTCATATTTTAGAGTTAAAAAATCTAAATCTCGTTTAATCTTTGTAATCTCCTCAGATGACAATGTAGACGCCTGACAAACGTTTATTACAGCCTGAGCACATGTGAGCTATTCGTCTTATCGGCCAGGCATATCGGCATAATTTTTCATATCGGGCCGATTCCGATATTTTTATTTTAAGCTTTTATCGGCTGATTCTGATAACGTTCCGATAATAGCGTGCATCCCTAATATATATATATATATATATATATATATATATATATGTGTGTGTTCATAAACTGTATGGATGTGATTACACGCAATACACGGAGCTTTTCCCTCACCATTGTAATGCGCTGCTTTTGCAAGGTTCCGTGAAAACGTTTCAGCTTTTATTTTCCTTTTTCGCCCTGAAGAAGATATCACAGGTTCATCAAGTTCGTCGAAATTATCCATCTTCGATCACTTATAGTCAGCTTTGACGAAACTCCTCTCAGCTAGCACGTCTTTTCAAAGTGAAAGTAGCCTTGTCACCTGACTTGAATAAAGCGCGCTGATTCGCTAAAATAGACTTATCGGCTTCTGTTCAAAAACAACAAGAGTGCTTGTCGGCTTCTGCAGTAAAACGTGAACTCGTGATGCCTTGAAAGTGGACAAAACAGGCTTTTTTAACGAAACGTGTTGAGAGATCAGATCGCGCTATATGTGGAGCTATTTCTTTTTTGAAAGTGGCGTTTATCTTTTTTTGCAAATGAACTCTTACATATTGTATATCTTACATATCTTACATACATACTGTATATATTAGGGATGCACAATATTGGATTTTTGCCGATATCCGATATGCCGATACCGATACATTTCCTTTTGTTTGGAAATAACACCAAATCTCTCCTGTGCAGGGATTACAAACAATTTTTTTAAATTTTGGATAGTTTTGAGCAAAAACGTACTTGTTAGAACTAAATAAACAATAATATAATATAATATAATAAATAATAAATATTTTTGTAAGAGTACATTGAAAGCTTTGAAAATAACTATAAATAAATCAATCACTGTTTTTTTTTTCAAGACAGATAATATGCGTAATAAAATACATATAAATAATAAATATATACATGAGATATAACTAACACTGCCACCATAAGTCGCAAGGTTCAGTGTTTCAGAGCACATGCATTAACAGCTAAGATGTGGGTTTAAACATTATACAAAGGAAACAAAAAAGTAGCTCATTGCAACACAATACATATCATCCCATTGTCTACGTGACATTTTGTGCATGCTTGCATATTTTGTGATCTATAATTCTAATTAGCAGATGGAAAACAGGCCGTATCTGCTGTCATATTCTTTGTCATTTGACACCATCTTTAGTCCAAACTAATATCATGCCAATTTAAATGTACCACTGCACACTGCAAAGACCAGCACAACTAATTACTGTGAGCTAATGAATAATTCTGTGACTGATAATGTATGCAAATATGTGCTGTATTCATTAATTAGTGCGCAGACAATAGGCGTAATAAATCAAGAGAGCAGAGCCGTGTACATCTCCCAGCGGATACGGACAACAGCATTTTACACAATGCAACAGACATTAGAGACCATTTCAGAGATTAAAAGGTTTGTAAGTTATTGATATAGATGGTAGAAGGCAAACAGACAATAACAAACACAATTAAGAGACTGATCCTGACATTAAACCTGCTTTTATACAGACTGCCATGAAATGATCCAACACACTTATTAATGCAGCTGTAAAACTCATTCCACTTAACGTGGATAATGAGACGGTCCTTTAATCTTTCATGGTTTTCCATATTTGTTAAAAGGCTGTACAGATACAAACCGCCTATAGCTCTTCCTCACAGACACACAAATCATTTTTTCTGTAGATTAAACATCCTCAGGATCTTAAAGTCTTCAGAGCAACTGAGAAAAGCATTAGAGAACATGCCATAGGAATGAGCTTTGGAATGAGTTTTAGTAAAATGGTATAAAAACTTATTGGATATGGTACTTGATGTGGGCTGGAATGAATTAAGACATTATCTGCAATTTTCTTTAATAGAAATTTTTAAATTACGAAGTTACGTGATTAAAAACCACAAACTGCAAAAACTGTTTGCAAATGAGAATGGAGGCAAATGCTCTTCACAGTCATTGAAAGAGAAAAGTCTCATTTGAAAGAAATTACAAGTGATAACATTAGTGTAAGTGAAAAAGTAATGAACGTTAATTTACCTTGGAACAAATGAGAATGATCTTACTAATGTTATACGTTTTCATTCGGGGGGAAATATATAAATATACAGTATATATATATATATCAGGGGCATTTCCTCCCAGGAGGCAAGTGAGGCAGTGCCTCAAAAAATTGGATGAGAATATAAAATCATAGTACAAAATAAAACAATGCAAATATGACAAAATATGACATAAAAAGCTTATAAATCACTCGTTTTTCTAAAGTAAAACTGTCCAACAGCGACACCAGCAGGTAAAGTAACAGTGGAAGTCCGCGTCTCTCTCGCCTCCCCTGAGCCCATTGAGTTTTAACAGACCAACTAAAGCATGCGGTGAGTTTGGTGGGGGGTAATTGAGAATGAATGGGGGAAAGTCACGTGACAGGAGGCAATGCCTCCATCGCGACATGACTGGATATGGCTGATTATGATCGATAAATCTCGCCTCTTGTGTTTGTGCGCATTCTGCGTTCGCAAATCAGTCTGAATAAACAAAATTATGGCATTAATGTGAAGACTCATTAAATTGTAAGTAAGCAATACACACACTTATATATCACCACTTTGTCACGTCAAAATCAAATTTCAAATGGCCTGAAAACATGATCTGTTTTTTTTTTTTTTTTGTGAGGAATCAGCTTGTTGAAATTAAAGGTACATCTCCGCGTCTGTGATAGTATTTATAGAGCTTTGATGACTGATGATCCAAAAATAATTTTATTATTATACATAAGTTTATGATATATATATATATATATATATTATTATTATATTATATTTTATATTATATATATGAGTTTATTTATATATTTATTTTTCTTACAGTATTATTATTCATTCAATACTTAAAAGTGAAAAATTTTATTAAAAATTATTTGTATTATTTTATTACAGTTTTTCATTCAATACCGAAAAGTATAGATATTTTACTCAACATTTTGGTGCACTAGGTCATTTTTTATGCTTCTCACTATTAACTAAAGCCAGACTCATTAGCGGAGATGCTGCATATGTAGATTACAATTCAGTCACTTACAGTATGAATATCCTTTCAGCAAGGCAGCTTACTAGGTTTTGGAAGACAGCTTATACACTATATATGTACTACAGGAGCCTGTTGTTTCTAGACCCCGCCGTCCTTGCACTAAACGATCATAATTTACTTTCAGCTGGACGCCGGTGGTCAGATGCTATTATAGGAACAGGCATTGTGAGATATTGGATAAAACTCACATCCAAGGTGAGAGACAGACGAACGCGAGCGTGTCCCTGATAACAGCACCAAGGGCAGACTGACCTTATCGGCATTCATTCATCACACTGATGCACATGCACACTGACAGCAGCACTACAGGCCTCATGCGCCTCCGTCTACGTGTTTGTCATATCAAGCTTTCAGCGTATGCAGTAACACCCTAAAGTCGAGTCGAAGAAGTTTCCCAAGCAGAGGAAGCCCATGTTTCCACTTATGCAACGTGATTATATGGTTCATATGTGAAGTGTAAATCCGGCTCACCACATAAAACACATTCTGACACTGAAGGGAATTCCCATATTATGAATTCGTCCAGCATTTATAAACATACAGCTGCATATATAAACAAATGCCTCCTGATGGCTAGCCACAAACCAAATGAATTATACATAAAGCACATTTTGTCAGCGTTCTTCTGTCCTTTAAATGAACCAGACCTCATAAGCTCCTATACGGCTGTGTGTAGGACTAGCATGATTTTGGCAAGTAGGACATGTTCCTGAATCAACATCCTTGGTCCAAAATTACTATCAAGCAATACGATTTTAAGGGTTAGATTTATGGCTTCAGTAACATTCTTATCAACCTATTATTTCATACTGATTTTATGGCAGTGGTCCTCAACCAATGATTTACATAATACAAAACAAGCAATAAAATAAGCTAAAACAGCTAAAAATAATTTTTTTTTTAGGTGAATTACAAATTTTTTTCTTTCCTCAGCCTTGAAAAACCTGGATATATGGATACAAAATCTTGTGGGCATGGGCATTTTTTATATAGAATATAATTATGATAATGTTTTCTAATTATTTGAATATTTTAATATTTATTTTTTATTCTTGCATTTCCTGATTTTCGTTTGAATATTTTTCTTAAAGTCTTAACAATTTTGTTGTCAGTCTTTGTCATTTTTATTAGCTATTTTTTACAGTGTGAAAAATATTTATTTGATCCCCTGCTGATTTTGTAAGTTTACCCACTTACAAAGAAATGAAGGGTCTGTAATTTTTATGGTAGGTTTATTTTAATGGATAGAGACATAACACCAACCCAAAAATCCAGAAAAAACACATTATATAAATAATTATTATTGAATTAATTCTTCAAGTTAAACTAAATGAAAAATTGTTGCCTTGGCAAATAGTTGATATAAAAACAGATTATTTTTTAAATATTTTACTTTCATTTTATTGTTTTGGTTAAAGGTTTAGTTAACTATAATAAGTGATTCTGAGCGAAATATTATTTAAAAATTCTCATCCAAAATGTACATGTCCAATAGTTAATTTGAATTACTTATTTTAGTTACCTATGTTAATCTATGGAAACTCCTAGTTTCTATAAAAATAAAAGGTTTTGAAAACGGAGCTTTATCATTACAGCAGATGTACCAGAGGAAACTATTAGAGAACACGGAGGAGGGTTTGGATTATTGTAGTGGACACTGCAGGGCCTTGGAGTAATAAAGGTTCACTGTTTTAATGGTATTTAATGGTTGGGCTTATGTACGGTTCTTGGCATCACTTCTACTCTACAGGAGCGTTGAGTGGGAATAGTCTTACCCGCGTCGACTTGTTTGGCGAATCCTTGCCTCTTTCCTTCAAGGAGTTGAGGATCTTGGTGGAAGGGACGTGCCACTTCACCTCTGTGAAGAAAACAGACTGACTGCAGCAAACACAAGAGCATAGACACGGTCTAACATGGTTTCTAGCTGGTCCAAACTGGTCTAGATGATTAGTCTTAGGGCTGGTAGACCACCTTGGACCAACTACTAATCAACTAGAGTATTCTAGAAACCAGACTGACTACAATAACTAGGGCTGAATGAAAAAATATAATTGTGATTTTTCTGTTAAAAATTGCATTTGCGATATAAAATTGTATTTTGGTAGAAAGCCGCCAAGCTTCTCTTTTGCTGACAACAGCTTATGAACGCTTCTCATTTGGGAAGTTTGGGAAGATGGTTGGTGCGTTTTGATTTTTCAAATGCAGTTTTACTCAGATTAATATTTTTTTCTGAAAAGTTAATCGTAGGGCTTGGCGATATGGCAAAAACATTAAATCTCGATTTTTTTCAGAACGCTTGACCGATTCTTAATTTTTAACTACAACATGATTAAAGTAACTTTTTCTTTATTAACCCTCAAATTAAAGAAAATTCTATTTTAAGTGCAGCACACAGGAAGTTGTCAACATGATGTAAATGTTAAACAAATCACTTGTTAAATATCTTTGCGGAAAAGATGCATGAACTACAACTACATCTTCTACAAACTTGTCTTATACACATTATATGTTCAGAAATAATACAAGGAAAATGCTTTAAAAAAATTCTCAGAAGTCAAGGTAATTCAAATTCAAAATGACTGAAGGTATAACACCAGTAGACTATTATTAAAAATAAATGTTCTGTAAAAACAATGAACAGCAGCTTTCAGCCTGTCACCATGATGCAAAGATGAAATATCAGACATACACTAGTAGTTCTTTACAGGTTTTTATTTGATTGCGCTGCTTTTCCATAGTTTTTTCTATGTAAACATGGACATGTTTGACTGTTGCGCTCACTATGCATGAAACGGCTTTCTAAAAATGTGGCGCTCAAGTTAAAAGAACTTCAACTCCCATCTTCCTGCATTTTTTCCTATTCCACTGCCCGTGTCGCATCTTTGTCAACACAAAAGCGCATTCTGTGTGAATGGCAGCTAATTCTATATTCTACTGATGGTACTTCACAGAGCGCGTCACACGCGATCATTGTTTTCTCTTTCCTGTTATCATTGGCATACTGGCTAAGTGTCTAATTCTAATGTTTGGTAATAATTCTATTCAAAATTGTAAAAAAAAAAAAAATTGTGGCAAAACATTACATTCGAATTCATCGATAAAATCGGAAAAATCGCCCAGCCCTAAGTTCCCGTATAATAATCTCCAGTATCTTTTCAGTCCAGTAGCTAATGTCTTCCTGACCTTCACTCGTGGGAATGATCAGTGTAAATGTGTGAATGGCACCTGCAGAGCGTGTCCTCTCGAGAGTCGGCTCTCTCTCCCTCAGCATCTCCCCGTCTCCCAGCATGCCCTGGGCTTCAGCCGAGCGCTCGTATAGCACAGGAGACTGACACCTGCGGAAGAGACCGGCGAGAGTTCAGATTCATGGGAACGGCCAAAATGACAGCAACAGCTCGTTTCTTTACTGATCCTAAACAACTGTCAGTCTTGATTATGGGAGTTGAGAAACATTGGATATTAATAAACAAAGTCTGATAATAAAATGTGTGAAGGAGGTTTTTGTCAATGCTGGACGAGACATGTGACATTTGCTAAAAGTGCGCTGTCTAAAAGTCTTTATGGCTGACTTTAAATTGAGTACTAATCACTTTTACTAAATTAGTAAATTGCCAGTTACTTTGCCTGAACATTGATAAGGATACTTATGAATTAATTTCTAAAACCCAAATTAACCTAAATCAGATGGACAATACGATAAACCCAAGTTTATTATAAGATTAAATAAAATATATATACATATTTATAATATAAATATGAATAAATTAATAAATGTTTTTATTAATACTATAATACCAAATTAAACTATATTAAATAAATGAAATCTATACTAAATTAATACTAAATTATAATTATATATTAAATAATACAATTATTAATATATTGCTATTAATTGATTTATTGGTTGATTTACATTAATTTAAATATTAATTGGACCAATACATTAGTACTAAATTAAACTATAATATATCAACTAAATTAACACTAAACTAATACTGACTAATATTTGATAAAAAATATCAATACAGTTTTATTAACTGATTCATTGATTGATTTATATTAATATAAATATTCATTGGACCAATACATGAATTCTAAATTAAATGATAATAAACTGAATTAAAACAAAATACATTTTATTTAAAAAAAAAGGAAAATAATTAGCAATATAACGCTATAAATGTTTTTGTTTGATTTATTAATTTATATTAATTGAACCAATACATCAATTATAAATTAAATGATAATAAACTGAATTAAAACGAAATAAATTTTATTTAAAAAAGATCAAAAGAATTATCAATATAATGCTGTAAATGTTTTTGTTTGATTTATTAATTTATATTAATTGAACCAATATATGAATGCTACATTAAACTAGAATAAACTAAAATACTGAATAATATTTGATAAAAATGATCAATATAATTTTACTGATTTATATTAATTTAGCTTTTCATTGGATTCATTTTTATTAATACTAAATTAAACTATAATAAATAAATTAAAATATGACTAAATACTAAAATAATACTTGATAATAAAAATGATCAATGTAATCTTATTAATTATATATATATACTGTATATGTTATGGAATAATTCTCTGTGAGTGTGTTACCCGTCGTATCCCGGCTGCTGGTTCCAGCTGGTGCTTGCGCAGGGTCCCGGGTCGCTGGAGGACGACTGGTTACTGGGTGAGCTGCGGTAGTGTTGGGACACGTCTCCTTTACTGCAGGACGAGATCTGAGGCTTCTCAACATCCTGAACGCTCCTGCAGCGAGAGAAACAGACAGACACGCCAGCTGCTGCAGATCCAGAGGAGTGTGACTACAGCAGAGTTCAGATTTCAGCTTAACGTACAAACCGCGGATCAGAGAGAGTCAGGAGAGCAACATCAGGTGATGACTGTCTGACAGCCTGACATCAGTGAGTCTGATCTAATTCAGAAGAGCTTGAAGAGCAGGAGAGTGCATGCAACATTGAACATTACTTTATCTACCATGACATTCTTATCAATGCTGAGAAATTATGAAATAAAATCAAGCACATTTGTGCAAAGAGCCATGGATAATTAGGCAACACACAGTCTCATAATTATTGCAAGCTTCAATAATAATAATAATAATAGCAATAATAATAATACATTTTATTCTATATTGCATTTTTAAATGCAACTCCTCAAGCTGCTTTACAAAGAAACAAGCAATATAATAATAATAATAAATTATACAAAAAAAATAATAATAAAATGAATGAACATGCAAATAAAAACTATGATTAAAACTACAATTATTCATATTATTATTTCTTAATGTTATTGGTTGATTCATTCATTCATAATTTAATTCAAATACTGAATCATATTTGATCATAATTATGATATCTCATTGTGACGAGAGGGGCGGGGCCGAGAGCCGTGGGAACGGAGCGAGGCCGGTGGAGTTAATGATAATGCGCGACACCTGCGCCACTCACCGGTCTCGAGTCCCACGGAGGAGCTCCGGAAGGATAAAAGCAGGAGTGACGACAGTGTTGGAGAGAGAGGACCAGGCCTGGACTTTATTTTGTGTTTTGGTTCTGTTTGTGCACGACAGTCGTCCGCGAGGGGCTGTCGCGCTGTTTTGTGTTTATTTTATTATTCAAGCTTTCTTTAAATGTTTGCCGGTTCCCGCCTCCTTCTTCCCGTGACTACGAACGTTGTTACACTCATTTTATGAATTCATTTATATTCGTTAAATTACTAATTAGGTCAGTACATTAATAATAAATGAAATAAAATTAAACTACACAAATAAACAAAAGTAATACTAAATACTCAAAATATTTGATAATAAAAATGTTCAATATAATCTTATTAATAACTTTAACCTAAACTAATACTAAACGAATACTGACTAATATGATACAAATGATCAATACAACTTTATTAACTGATTCATTGACTGATTTATATGAACTGAATTATTAATTGGACCAATACATTATTATTAAATAAAATTAGAATATATAAATTAAATGAATACTAAATAAATACTGAATAATATTTGATAATAACGGTTTTTGATCAATTTGACTGATTGATCTATATTAATTGAATTATTAATTGGACCAATACATTAATACTAAATTAAATTATAATAAATAAACTTCATACTAAATAAATACAAATACAATTAAAAATATTTGATAATAAAAATGACCAATATAATCTTATTAATAACTTAAGCCTGACATCAAAAACAGTTGAAACATTTTTGAAACCTTGTTTTCTGTTAAATATGTTATTGCAATTAACTTTTTCCTGTATTTCTTTGACATGTGGGCAAATGTGCATCTGGGTTTTCAATGCATACAGAAGATGTGCACAGCATGCATACTACAAATATAGTAAGTATTACAGTAATATGTTATTTTGAACATAAGCGCAGTCCTCACTGACCACCAGCGACCCAATCACACGTCACCTCATTAAAAAGCACCAGTCATAAAACGCAAGCATCTGATCCTGAACATGCAAGAAGTCCTTTAACGGCTGTAAATATCTTACATTTATGCATTTATGTATTTAGAAGATGCTTTTATCCAAAGCGACTTTTCATTGCATTCAAGGTATACATTTAATCACTTCATGCATTTCCTTGTGAAAACGTGAGAGGTGTATTTTTAGAGTTAGTATGAGTGCATCACTAATAAGAGGGTAAGAGAGTCCAGTGGTGTGGCTTTACTGAAGCGAGGCACAGCTCTCTCCACATGCGGTCTCATAGAGGAGCCGGGAAAGGTCACCAACGCCACGAGGGGTTTCCAAGTAAGAACAAATGACCACATTATAACAAACGCATATCGCCTGCATACCAATTACAGGAAGCTGAATTCATGATGATCTGTGTCAGCAGATACAACACAACACTTTCCAGCAGCGAGTAAATTGTTAGTGCATGCTGAAACTGAAAATGTTTGAAAAACTACATTTTTTTTTTTTTTGCAATTTACACATATTTGAATACATTTTCCCTTTATGTGAATCAGGTTTGTGCAATGCAAAAAAATCTTAATGAGTATTTTTGACTTATTTGTCGGTAAAAATATCCTTAAAATAATTTTTTTTTTATTCAAGAAACAATTCTGCAAACAATTTTAAGATAATTTCCAAAGGCAAATGAGGTTTTCAAGCTCCGAAAATGAACATTATACTATAGAATGGTCTGCAAGATTTTTGAATTTTTTGAAAGAAGGCTCTTCTGCTCACCAAGCCTGCATTTATTGGATCAAAAATACAGAAAAAACATAATTATTGTGAAATATTACTACAATTTAAAATAACTGTTTTCTATTTGAATATATTTATTTTCACATATTGAACCTATTTTCCCTTTATGTGAACCAGATTTTGGCACTGCAAATATATTCTTGATGAGTATTTTTGTGTTGTTTTCCAATTAAAACATCTAAAAATGAAACAAATATACTTTAGCAATATGGCATTAAATTTTAAGATTTGTTTTCATAGACTGTATCTTGAATATATGTGTATTTTGTCTTACTACACTGACAGATTTTTTTAAACTAGTTTTTAACAAATTCATACGTAAATCAAGTGACCAAATCTGCCATTGCAGTAAGACAAAATACACTCATATTAAAGACATGATATACTGTATATCAAAACAAGTCTCAATATCTGCTAATCAAGCAAATTGATTTTGTTTCAAAATATTTTTACTGGAAAGCAAGGCAAAAAGACTAATTGAAAACTTTTTTGCATTGTGGATCAAGTAGGAAAGATGATATTATTAGTAAAACCAGAAAAACGAACGATAAGATAAAAATTTAGGTCCATCAAACCTTTAGAATGTAACGGGGTATTAATGTAAAATCAAAAGGTAACGTGTCACTTTACTCATTAGTACGGAGTGTAACGTGCATTCATTGTAATACATTGTTCAGTATGCTTTGTGCAATTTGTATGCTTTTTGAAATCATAGAGCCCTAGACATAAAATGTCAGAAAATACACAACAAAAGGTTTGTGTGAAACGCTTGATCCTCTCACACTTCCTTCATCCTGCTGTATTTTTCGTGCATTCTAACACCCAGAGTTCTGCCTCGTTCATGAAATCTGAATGTATCTGCTTCATTCAGGAAGGCGATGGATTCACAGTTACACTCATCCACTGACAATTTAGAAAAACGCTTTTGGAAAGACACGCAAAAGCATGCATCTGAAACTGAAGAGATACCTGGGTCCATCCGGCAGCTTCCTGTCGAAAGAGGTGCTGCGTGGGATGGCGGTCTGAGCATGCTGGAGGACCTGCTGGCACGGCATGCTATCGGGAAGAGGCTGGCCGCTGGTGGGCACACGGTGCCAGGTGGTGTTTGAATCGCTGATAAAAATATCACAATAATCCACATCACTCCAATTTATCAGTTTGCGTGTTCGTAAGAAACAAATCCATCATTAAGACGTTTTAACTTCAAACCATCGTTTCCGGGTAAAATATGAGTCCATAATCCATAATAACGCTTCCTCCAGTGAAAAAGTGCATCTCCTGTTCTCTCTCACATCAAAATCCACCCAACATATTTGTTTAGATCTGTTTTGGCTTGTAAACGGTGCTTGATCTGTGCAGATTTCTCTCCTGATTCAGACATTTTCACTGGAGGAAGTGTTATTTTGGATTATGGACTCATATTTTAATTAAAAACGTCTTGATGGGTTTGTTTCTTACAAACACACAGCTTTTGTCTTCTCCAGATGTTAACTGATGGACTGGAGTGGTGTGGATTACTTGTGGATTATTGTGATGTTTTTATCAGCTGTTTGGACTCTCATTCTGACGGCACCCATTCACTGCTTATACTCCACCATAGGGATGCGGTAGAGCTCTGAACATCCCCTGAGAGACACGAGCGCAGAAATTACGTCAACAGACATTTAGAAGATGCTTTTATACTTCCTCCAGTGAAAAAGTGCATCTCCTGTTCTCTCTCACATCAAAATCCACCCAACATATTTGTTTAGATCTGTTTTGGCTTGTAAACGGTGCTTGATCTGTGCAGATTTCTCTCCTGATTCAGACATTTTCACTGGAGGAAGTGTTATTTTGGATTATGGACTCATATTTTAATTAAAAACGTCTTGATGGGTTTGTTTCTTACAAACACACAGCTTTTGTCTTCTCCAGATGTTAACTGATGGACTGGAGTGGTGTGGATTACTTGTGGATTATTGTGATGTTTTTATCAGCTGTTTGGACTCTCATTCTGACGGCACCCATTCACTGCAGAGCATCCATTGCTGAGCAAGTGATGAGATACTAAATTTCTCCAAATCTGATGAAGAAACAAACTCATCCTAATCTTGGATGACCTGAGGGTGAGTATATTTTCAGCAAATTTTCATTTTTTTAAACTATTCTAAAGTAAATATAGTATAAAGTAAATTGAGCCAATGTTTTTCACCTTTCGTTTTCAGCTAACATCATCGATCCATCTTATATTCATATACAGAGACTTTTCAACATGCAATCCATTTATGATGCATCAAATCTACACTTCTTCTTGTTGAATATTTTTTTCAATTTTAAATGCATAAAATAGGTTATAAAAAATGTTTCAGTCACTTCAAACAAGTGTCTTGCTCAAGTTGAGAACTCATGATTCACTCCTTGCGGGAACTGAACTAGTTATCATCTGGTTACCAGTCCTGGGGTCAGCTGCATAAACAGCCTCTATGTTAAGACTGTGTCTTAAGAACTAGTTTGACCAACTAGCAGTTTTTAAGTCTTACTTTTCTGATTTGAATTAGACCAATCTACCTTTTTATTTAACTGACTTATTATGTTATGATGAAGTTATGACCAGTCTTGCAGAAAAAAAAAACCAGACTAGTCTGAGCAGTTTATGCAACCAGCACATGAGCTTTAAAAACTGAACCATATGCAAGTGAAATTTATTTGTGTAGCACACATTGCTTCACATTGCTTCAAAGCAGCTTTACAGAAAATCATGATGTCAATGTTTATAATATCTTAATATCTTGCCTTATAGTCGCATTTAGCAGATTAGAGCTGGGAGATAATATGGTTTACATTTTGTGACAATACAAGCAATCAAGCAGTTGAGATTTGCTGTACAGTGTATATATATATATACACCTATATTTACCTGTTCTGTACAGGTTTAAAAACCAAGAAGTGAATGACACTGGAAGCCTCGCTTATTCAAGGTACTCCTGCTCTTAATTTAAAAATAAGGTGGATATGAGTGCTAGAAGGGAACTAGAAGACACAGAAATGGAGAAGCTGTTTGAGGTGTGTTTTTGGGTTGAAAGAAAAGAGCCCGAGGGTTATGAAAACAGTCTGCTCTACGAAACGAAAAAAAACTTTTGCAATTCAACTCTGGAGCTATTGTCTTCATGAAGCTCTTGAGGTGAAGGGTTAACATTCTCCTTTTCCATTTGCATAAGCAGCCCACAGGCTCGTATCAATTAGATGCAGTAGACAGCCCCAAAAATCAGACTGAAATGTGTTTTAAATTGAGCTGCATTCATCAGCTACTTCCCCATTGCCCTCTGGTTATCACTGACCTCTGCGTCCTCACGAGGCCAGAGAACACTAGACGCTACGCTACACTTTCTGGCAGGATCTCTTGGCATGAGCAACGGCAATGCAAAGCATCCTCGAAAGGGAATTTTTTGACTGAGAAATCCTGCTGGAATACATTAAAGAAAAAGATGAGGAATAAATGAAAAGTCTGTTATCATTTACTCAACCTCATGTCGTTCAGATTCTGTATGACTCTCTTCTATGAAAAACTAACAAGATATTTTGCAATGTGGAATGAGGTTTTTGATCTCCAAAAAAATGCAAAATAAGAGAAGGGGGAAAAGTAAGAATGAAAAAAAAACAAAAAAAAACAATTATATATATATAAGATTTAAGTTAAACTAAATTAAAGTTAACTAATATAAAACACGTGTTGTTATTAGTTAACTATCACTAAAACTAAAAATAAAACTATAAAAAACTTTGTTACTCGAAATATATAACCTTTAACTGAAATAAAATAAAATAAAAATGACTTCTTTTTTTTTCAGTTAGTTGCCAAGGCACCATTTCTCATTTTCATCTAGTTTAATTAAAATAATTACAACAAAAACTGAAATCATTTAAAAATAAAAACTATATAGGCAAGTAAAAAAAAAAAACTAATAAAAATGACAAAAACATACAACAAAATGACAATTTGAAAATTAAAATTAAAACAAGACATAAAAAAAAAACTAAATCAAAATATTACTAAAAACTATAATAGTATCTCAATGATACTAACACTGCTTTAATGTCACATATATAATTTTCATTTTTATAATATGCCAAATGTATGTGTATATGTATAATATTTATAATGTGTAATTTTTATAATAATAATAATATGTATATATAATTTTTTTTATAATTTTGACATTTTAATATAATAAGATATATAATATGTAACACTATTATTACATTATAGTAATCAGATTATAGTAATCTCAAGCATTGTGAAGTCATATGAAAACTTTTTGTGATGAACAGACCAACATTTAAGTCATTTAAAGAACATTTTTTTCTTGGTTGGATTTCCCCAGCAGTATGCTTTGCATGAAGTTGAATGCAGTGGTGTGTTGAGGTGACTGATGTGAAAGGCTCCTTAGTGCTGGGACCCAAATGTCTCTTAAGTGTTTATCAATGAGCAGAAATCAAGCAAAATGCACATGCAAATGCATCCAGACGTGCTGTTGAAACATTAGCCGCAGCTAACAGCATTGGCTCATGCGTTTGAAAAGTCAGTCAGCATAAATGCATTTACAGTACATCACTCACAGACGCAACATAATGAGAACCAGTTGAAAAGAAACGTAAACTACTGAACTGCAACTTTGGCGACCCGAGCATATGAGATATTGAGTGTTTACAGAATAAACTGGTCAATCAGTTTCTTTATGTCTGTTTCCCCATTAAAAGCTGAATAATTTCCAAAAAGTTGTGTTAAACAATTCACAGTGTAAGCCAAAGGCAGTTTAAAGAGCACGCTAATGTGTGTATTTTTCCACACGTTTATGTTTTACTTCTACTATTTACTTCAACTCCCACACAGAACAAAACCTTCACATTTTCCACATCAAAACCTGGAACCTCTGACCTGCGCTGACATATGGAGAATAATCTACAGCATGTGAATGTGCCGAGAAACACGAACCCAACTGCATTTAGGTGGAAGCTCTTACAGATTCAGTATGTTGTTTTAGAAACACACTTGATCTCACATGTCCAACCGAGTAAAAACATAAGAGTTATTCCTAACTTTAGCGTTTTTATCCAAGAAAAAGCATGTTGAGCAAACTTTGAGGGCCAGTTTTCATCAGAGATATACGGGATGCTCAAATTCACAGGCTCAGATTTATAGAGCGATGATTTCCACTGCCGCTCGCCAAGATCTGCACGACTGAGTCAGTCCTCTCACACTACTGCCGGCATAATGGAAAACACGAGTGTGGGATATAAAGGTAAGATACTAATGAGCCTGCAAAATGCAATAATGATCAGTACTGATTGACATTATATAGCTTGTGAAACACCATATGGATAAATGAGCTATACGGGCAACACAAGGTCAAATCTAGCATGCAACATTTCCTGATCCTGCAAAAACGGCATTAGATATTCAAATTAAAGTATTTATTATCAAATTAACTAAAATAATATAAAAATAATGTATTTTTTAATAATATCTAATTTTATCTAATAAAGATATACAGTATATATATATATATACACATATAACCATAAATATACTATATCTACTATAATTTAATTCAATAATAATAACAAAATATTTTATTATAACTATTATTATATTATTATAACTATTATAATTGGAATCAAAACAATATAAATTACTAAAATAATATAAAATATATGCAACAATAATGAAGTATACAGTAAAAAAAATCTTTTTTGATGATGATATAATTTATGATTATATGCATTCAAAATTTGGGGTCAGTAAGATTTTTTTAAAATAAATCAATAATTTATTCAGCAAAGATGCATTAAATTGATCAAAAGTGACAGTAAAGGCATTTATAATGATACAAAAGATTCTATTTCAAATAAATGCTGTTCTTTTGAACTTTCTATTGATCGAAGAATCCTGAAAATTAAAATGTATCACGGTTTCCACAAAAAATGAAGCTGCACAACTGTTATCAACATTGATAATAATCAGAAAGGTTTCTCGAGCAGCAAATCAGTATATTAGAATGATTTCTGAAGATCATGTGACACTGAAGACTGGAGTAATGATGCTGAAAATACAGCTTTGTATCACAGAAATAAATTACATTTTACAATATATTCACATAGAAGAACAGTTATTTTGAATTGTAATAATATTTCACAATTTTACACTTTTTACTGCATTTTTCATCAAATAAATGCAGCCTTGGTGAGCGGAAGAGACTTCTTTCAAAAACATAAAAACATTTTATGTTATATTTTTGATGGTAGTGTATATAAAAAAAATAAAACTACATTTTTACATAAATTCTTCAAATTAAATTATCTTCAAGTAAATGAATATCTAAGTACCATCTGATACCATCAGTGTAACATCACAGTACTTCATTGTATGGGTGGGAAATCAAGCCTCCCTCAGACAAAAAAAATGGGACTTTTCCCATCAAACACCCTGTTTTACATCCTCTCTTATATTAAAGAGCTCATAGATGTCTTTTTCTGGTTGTGCAGAATCCCGTCTGAGCTGGTGAAATACGCCTCTAATATTAGCCTAACCCAGAAAATCTATTTCTTTACACTAGAGCAGCAGGATGTGGCCGTAACCCTGCTGTCCACAAGCTTCTCCATCATTTCTATATGAATCTTTAAACATGCCGCCCATATATCACACTAATGAGAGAAAAAGAGAAACATTTCAGATGTGTCTACACTTAAAATTACTCCCTTATGGATTGAAAATGTAAACAGCGGGTAAATATTTGGTTTTCAGACTAATCAGGGAGTGTTTGTAATGTTACCGGGCTCTGCTCCTCGACGTCTGACCTGAAACATGATACTCAGGCTGTATATGAGAATTGGGCCGTTTATACTGTGAGTCTTTCCTTAAAGTTCATATTTATCTGGGTGTAAAGTTCATACATGCCGGACGCTGTGATGAAATCTGGAGTTCAGGCAATTCTAGAAATATTCTGTGGTTGTTTAACTGCATCACTTACAATTACTTTTACAGTGATGCATTTGCCAGATGCTTTTATTCAAAGCGACGGGCATTGCATTGAAGGCACAGTATGCATTTAATCAGTTCTTGCATTCCCTGGGAATCAAACCCATGACCTTGTGTTTTAAAAAGCAAATGTGCTACAGTTATTCTTTGTTTTAATGCACATTTTTGTCTCCCAATGGCATGAACCCAAACACACATTTAAAGGAATAGTTCACCCAAAAATTACTATTTGCTGAACATTTACTCACCATCAGGCCATCCAAGATTAGGATGAGTTTGTTTCTTCATCAGATTTGGAGAAATGTAGCATTGCATCACTTGCTCAGCAATGGATGCTCTGCAGTGAATGGGTGCCGTCAGAATGAGAGTCCAAACAGCTGATAAAAACATCACAATAATCCACAAGTTATCCACACCACTCCAGTCCATCAATTAATGTCTTGTCAAGAGAAAAGCTGCGTGTTTGAAAGAAACAAAATCCATCATTAAGGCATTTTTAACTTCAAACCATCACTCTTGGCCAAAATATGAGTCCATAATCCATAATAACGCTTCCTCCAGTGATAAAGCCATCTCCTGTTGTCTCTCACATCAAAATCCACCCAACATATTTGTTTAGAGCTGTTTTGGCTTGTAATCGGTGCTTGATCTGTGCTGATTTCTCTCATGATTCAGACAAGACGACTTCACTGGAGGAAGCGTTATTATTAATCATGGACTGGTATTTTTTCCAGAAGTGGCAGTTTGAAGTTAAAAATGCCTTAATGATGGATTTGTTTCTTGAAAACACGCAGTTTTTGTCTTCTCCAGATGTTAACTGATGGACTGGAGTGGTGTGGATTACTTGTGGATTATTGTGATGTTTTTATCAGCTGTTTGGACTCTCATTCTGACGGCACCCATTCACTGCAGAGCATCCATTGCTGAGCAAGTGATGCAATGCTACATTTCTCCAAATCTGATGAAGAAACAAACTCATCCTAATCTTGGATGGCCTGAGGGTGAGTACACTTTGAGCAAATTTTCATTTTGGGTGAACTACTCCTTTAAAAAAATACTAGTTAAAATCACTCCACACTTTTACTCTCCTGACATCTCTGATGCACAGGATGATGATCTGTTGCCAGGATTATAATTGCTAATGTTGGCATCCCACATTGCTATCAGCAGACCATACAGAAAAAAACAACAGGTCATCACCTAGCAACCACTCGTGAACAACCTAGAAACCACACATCAACATTCTAAAATCACTCAGAACCTTAGCAACCACACAGCAACACCCTGACAACCACCTGACCGCACTGAAACATTGTAGCAGTGAGTTTTACTCACTCAGAAAATGTAAAAAAATACAGTTATCCATTATGGTTTATAGGTCAATTGAGAGCTACTCATAGATCATTTTTAATTGGTTAAAATGACAAACTTCTTGAACATCCAGAAACCTTGATGGTCAGTAATCATAATACTGAGACGCTCTAAGCTTCTGCTGCGTCATGTATGATGACAGATGATCACGTATGATCACAGATCACTGTAAGAGGATTTGCTGACATGTTGGATTGACAGAGGGATGTTTGGATGTGATGTGACTATAATACGCCAATATTAAAGGCTCAAATATAGGGACGACAGAATAAATCTCTAGATTTAAACCGGTCTGTCCATCAGGCATGTTTGTGAGCTAACTGAGTGAACAGTTCAGAACGTGGTTAAATTTGTTTAACCTAATCAGCCTCAGTTAAAGAACTAACAGAAAGAGCAAACGAATTAACCAGTCAGTTTTTTTAATGTGTGAAAAGCCAAATTAATATGATAATTTCTTTAGGAAATCTGATCAAATATTACACTAAGTGGAACAGTAAGATTCTAAGCATGAAGAAAGAAATAACATATTTATATAATGTATATACAGTACATATTGTCTGTTGCAAAAATAATATTAAATTATAGATAGATAGATAAATACACAGTAATTTCTCAAAAGTTTTCATGAGATTTACTTTAAAAAGCTTTGAACACTGATGGTGGCTGACGGTAAGTGATTGTGCAGGTGGATCTGTTCTGTTTTAACTGGAGGGACGAGCAGACGAACCCTAAAAGCACAATCTGCTGCTCTGCGAGTCGTCAGACGTTTCTTCAATAATCAAACACCTCCTGCCGCTATCGCTGGGTGAAAGATGACCGCCCGTGAGCGTCAGGCCTCGGCCCAGCTGGCCAGATCTGTCAGCCGCATTACGCCACTGCTGTTGGTACACAAGCGGCCGTCTGCTCGGGAACACCAGCGCTCTCCTTCTGTTCCCACTGATCCACTACAATCACTTACAGAGCTTCCCGGTGCAAACCGTCCATTCACAGCAAATCAGCTCCAGAGCGGCATCATGCTAACAACACTGGATAATGGAGCGACTTGAGAACAAGAAGTGGAGTGGAGTTTTGACTGCCTATAAGAGTGAGATCTTAAAACTCAGACTTCATATCCCATCCAACACAATAAATCATGTGAGTAAAGCTGAAAAAAAGCAGCAGAAAACCTGCTATTAGCATCCATCTTGGGTGATTTATTCAGCCAAAGTAATGAATTTCATATGGAACTATGAGTTAATACTGAAAATTTTACATCTTCAATCATGGCAAAACAAAACAAAACAAAACAAAACAAAACAAAATAAAATAAAATAATTATTAATTATTATTATAAATGTATTACATTTCTATGAATTTATACAAAATTAAAAATAATAATAATAATATAATATCCCTAACTCCAAGTATTACATTTCTATAAATTAATACACAATAATGAAAAAAATCTAATCTAATCTAATCTAATCTAATCTAATATAATATAATATAATATAATATAATATAATAATATATTTTAGAGATCTAGCTTTAAAGGAAAACAACTATCAGGAAAAAGTGGTAAATGGGATGGATGTTAATAGCAGGTGTAGACAAGGATAGGAGGATGGACAGAACAGATCACTGATACCTTCTGGGAGCTCCGTCCTCATACGGCTGGATAATGACCACCTTGACGGAGATGGAGGTGCGCAGCAGGTCGATCATCTGCTCGTGGGAAATAGAATAGAATAGAATAGAATAGAGGTGTTGAACAAACCCTTATCCCTTAGGTAAACATCCATATATATATATAATTTATTTCAATTAAAAATTATTATAAAATCATAAAATAATTAAAAATTATAAAACTATTGTAAAATTACAATTTATAATAATTATTATCAAATTTGTAAAGATTTTATAATACATTTTTTATAACTAAATTATCAAATTATGTTTAATTATAATTTTATAATAAAATAATTACAAATTATTAACAAACCTCTAACCCTAAGCATAAAATGTAAAAAAATTAATTAATTAAAATATATGAATTGATAATATAACACAGAGTTGTTGAACAAACTCCTATCCTTAAGTATTAAACTTTTAATTACACGCCACCGTCACGCAATCTCATTCAGTCATTAGAGAGAACTGACCTCCAAACCAGCAGCCCATCACTGAACCAGAGGAAAGCAGGAGTGGACGGGCAGGTGAAGGGTTAAGAGTACATAGGAGAGTACATTGATAGGTAAAAGTGTATTTCATAAGTCAGCGGAGTCATAAGTCACAGGAGCGGGAGGTTTGGTGAGTCAGTAAATACTCTGAGGAGAGGCTGATCTGTCTTAAAAACTTTACCGTAATAAGCTGAGCTAGTGAGAGTGACTCACTGTAACTTGATTTCAACTGTTAGTATTAGTTAGTTGTCAACAAATACAGTCATTTTAATGATTCAGTGACCGACACATTAGTTTGAATGAACAGCTTGAGTTTGTTTTCATGATTCACATGATCAACAACAGACCAATCAGCTGTGAGCTTCAGACTGGACTTCAACAACAACATTAATCTAAAAGCTGACTTCATTTTTAACTGGTATCCATTCTTCTGAAAATGACTTTGAATGGGTTATTTTAGAATAGCAAAATAATGATGTACACAATATTGTAATGTACACAAATTGTTAGTACTGCTTCATATACATATGGTTAAAAACAAAAGATTATTCAGTTTAGAAAACCAGAAAAGATACTGTATCATGGATTCGCTTTGACGTAAAAATCAAATGTAAATATATAATGAATAAAATGTTTAGCATAAATAAAATGAATAAATATAAAAAATAAAAAAATAAAAAAGCTAGAAAATATTTAATTTCCATTGATGCAATTATCAAATGTTATGCAAATATATAATGAATAAAACCGAATAAATAAGTAGATAGATACCATTTATTTTTTATTTAAGGTCAGAAAAGATATACATTTTATTTGATGTAATATTCAAATGTTATGTAAATATATAATGAATAAAACTGATAGCATAAATAAATAAATAATAGACAATAAAAAACAAAATTTGACAGCCAGAAAAGATATCAGAAATTTTCTTTGATGTACAGTACTGATCAAATGTTATGCAAATATATAATGAATAAAACTCATAGATAGAATGAATGAATGAATGAATGAATGAATGAAGGAATTAAGAAAAATGAGAAGGCCAGAAAATATATATTTTTTTCTTTTATGTAAATATCAAATGCTATGAAAATATAATTAATGAAACTGGTAGCATAAATAATAAATAAAATTAATAAATAAATATATTTTTTAATTTTTTTAAATAAAAATGATAAGGCCAGATAAGATATTTTCAATTTTATTTGATGTAATATCAAATGTTATGCAAATAAAAAAATAAAAAAATGAATGAATGGTGCCAGCCAGCAATGGCAAAGTCATGGGTTTGATTCCCAGCAATGCAAGTCGTTTTGGATAAAAGCATCTGCCAGATGCATAAATGCAAATGTAAGCTCTCTGTGTACATAACATGCACCATTGAATCACTCGCAGTAACACCAGGAACGTGTAGTAAATAAGCACATTTTGGGTGTTTTGATTTCACACTGACTTTAAAGCAGCCCAACCTTGTGTTTTCCTTCAACACACATCATTAGACAGATCAACGAGACGCTGAAGCACTGCTGGTCAGCTGGTATCAGTGTTTTCATCCAGTACAATGAATCATTACACAAAGAACAACAAACACCCTCCAAGACAGCAGCTAGAAGCAAAGAAAAGCGTCAAGTGAGCGAGCTGCAGTAATCCTCAAAGGGAGGCTAAACTCCGGCTCTTCCCACACACGTCTGTGTCTGCGCTAAACTGCTTTAAAAGAGCAATCTGTTGTGCTGTCTGCCAGAGCGCCTCACATTACAGCCCCACTCTCAAACTCTCGCTGAGGAGGTGCTGACACACACGCTGTGAAACCAGGAGCAAGTGCTGTCAGTCCGGCCGTAATGCTGAGGAGCTCCTAGACTACAGTGAAAGAGAAACACACGCAAACAGCTAGTATGAGCCGAAACTGTGACATTTTGTGGCGAACACGATGTCAAAAATAGCACTACACAACAAGTCTCCAGTATTGAGACATTTTTGCACTCACGAAACGCAAAATATAGTACAAAATGACAATAATCACGGTCAGTCGCAATATATGTGATCCGTGCTGGCAAAATGAGTCAGAATACGCACGGGCTAATTTTGAGCTACAGGCAAAAAAAACAAAAAAAACAAGTGGAAAAAGTCAATTTTGGTCGACTTTGAGGGTTTCACAAAAATTTAGCCCTCGTCTAGCGATCCCAAAGCTCCAAATAGTAATTAAACATCTAAAATGTGACCCTGCCTGGACCACAAAAGCAGTCTTAAGTCGCTGGGGTATATTTGTAGCAATAGCCAAAAATACATTGTATGGGTCAAAATTATAGATTTTTCTTTTATGCCAAAAATCATTAGGATATTAAGTAAAGATCATGTTCCATGAAGATATTTTGTAAATTTCCTACCGTAAATATATCAAAACTTAATTTTTGATTAGTAATATGCATTGCTAAGAACTTCATTTGGACAACTTTAAAGATGATTTTCTCAATATTTAGATTTTTTTTGCACCCTCAGATTCCAGATTTTCAAATAGTTGTATCTCGGCCAAATATTGTCCTATTATCCTAACAAACCATACATCAATGGAAAGCTTATTTATTCATCTTTCAGATGATGTATAAGTCTCAATTTAAAAAAATTTACCCTTATGACTGGTTTTGTGGTCCAGGGTCACAAATGATCTTTATTTGTATGTTTTCTGAGAGGTGCACCTTTTTCTCTGCTCGCTTCTTGACGACTGCCGCTTCCCCTCAGCACAAGTTCGGTAGAGTTGTAAAGCGTAGCGTTCCAGCTTTGTGAATATTCACAGTGAATTCTCGATGGCACGAGTCTGCACCAGTGAAATGTGATCGACTTCAAACGGGTGTAGCTCAGTTATTTTTTGTCCGATTCCAACAAATCATAATAATGATAACAATGCCATTGTCTAATGCTATTTCATGCATTCTGACTTATTTACACTGCGAAAGAGTTGGATTCTCATGCTAAACATGACCAAAGTCTCAAAAAATGAGTTGGACGTATGACAGAGTATTTCTGTGCCAAAGACACTCCTTCAGGGTTTGTATATGTTTCGGAAAGTTTTTTTCAAGTATGGCTCTTCATGACATCATGAAGGGCAGAATTCTTCTTCAGGAAGAGCACACGCACACATCAACCAGAGCGAGAGCAAGAGCAAGAGCAGCCCATCAACGTGCTTCAGTCGGGTTACGGAAGTCGTTGGCAGCGCTGCACAGGACTTGCTCGACTATTTTGTTTTAGGGTCAAATGGACATTTTTCACCTGAGGTTCGGAGCCAGATTACAGGGGGGTAAAAATGACTTTAGAAAGATGGCAGCATCAATATATTATTTTTACACAGAGATTGGTTGGTCTATTAGTAAAATCTGTTGACTTGAGCAATCTTTGTTGCATTATATGACAGTGGTGACCATTCAAAAATGGGAAAAAGCACTTTTCAAGTTTTTTCTCCAAAGTTTGCATGCCTGTAACTCAAGAATTTTTAAAAATATCTTAATGCTCATTTAGATTTGCGGTCTTAACAAACTTTCCTTTGGGCATCTTCATTTTTAAGGCTCTATATGGTTCCATTCCAGCAATATTGGGATCTTAAGATGGCTCCAGGAGTAAAAAGTTGAGTAAGTAGTTCACATTTTCAGTGGTCAAAAACCAAATCTGTGTCACTTTGCATTCAGCAGATTCTTCTTTTCTTTTAAAGAGGAAGGTCTGAAGAACAAATAAAGTTGAAACTAAAAATGTATCTTGTTTCCCAATATCAAAATAACTGCACAGAACATACCTGTCTGAGTGCCATTAATACTATTTTTTCCAAAGTTTGCATGACTGCAACTCAAGAAGTATTAATGATATCTCAATATGATTTCAGATTCTGGTTCTTAATAATCTTTTCTTTTGGAATCTACATTTTCAAGGCCCTATATCGTTCAGTCACATAGATATGGGATCTTAGTGCAGCTCCATATTCAGATTGTTGAATATTACCCATTTTCAGTGGTCGAAAAACAAATGTTGGTCACTTTGTATATAGCTGATACTTATTATATTTAAAGGGGAATGTCTGAAGAAAAAATAATGTTGTAACTCGAATTGTAGCTTGTTTCCCTCAATCAAAACAATTGCATAGAACATACATGTCTGAGTGTTACTTGCTTTACACTACATTCAACGGACCCGCAGTATACGTCACTTCCTGTTTGTTGCTGCCGTGTGTTTTGAGTTTGAGCTCCGTCAAGTTAATTCTTTATCATCTATTTT